CGAGACCCCGGCCGCCCACCGACCCAGGCCGGGCCCTTCCCCGCGGCTCGGCCAGGGCAATCCGGACCAGCTTTGTTGTCGTCTCCGGCCTCCGCGGGGCTGTCTTGCCCGGGTCGGCGCGGCCGGGGGCTCGCACCCACAGGCCGGGACCGGAGCTGCCCGCCCGGGCCCCGGCACGCGCACGCCCAAGCGTCTCGCTGCATCTTCCCAGACGTCGCTGCAGAAGGGTGCGAGGATGGTACAAGTACACACACGGGCGCCTGAACAGATGCGCGCACACGTATTTTTATACTCACACGTCGACAGATGCACATATTTTGGACACACACACATGCACTTGTATACATACGCACTTTTACACACGAGTTGTTCCGTGTTTATAGCTCCCTCCCCCCGCTAAAATATCCTCACCCGTTTAAAAACGCGCGCGCGCATACACCCCCCCCCCAATTTGGGTTGTCTAAATAAACGAATAAATGCAGGGGGGAGGGGAGTCTAATTTAATCCCGGTATAAATGGGGGGGACCCAGGCCGGCAGGGCCGTTTCAAGTTGCCCGCAGCCAAACCCTCCGAGCCGTTTCCAGGCCCCCCTCTCCTGGAAGGGGGGAGGGGGAAGTCACCTAAAATAGGCAGGAACCGGGGCAATGTCTGAGTGTGAAAGCAAGGAAGATCCGCTCCAAATATGCCCGGACGGGAACTTCGCCGGGGCGGCTCGGCGCTGGACGGAGCCCAGGCGAGGCCCGGGAGGGGAGCGGAGCCCGCGGCTGCCGAAGAGACCGCGGAGAGGGGTTGCGTGATCATTGGAGCAGCAATGACTGACAGCTGCTCGGCTCGGCTTCTCCCTCTCTGCCTTTTGCTTTTTTTGCTGCTTTTTTTTTTTTTTTAAAGGAGGAAAAAACCCCCCAACAAGCCCTCCAAACGCCGCCAGTTTTTAAACGCACTTTCCTTAAAAACCACCACCAAACCCTGCAGCTAAAGAAGCGGCCCGGAGAGGAGAGCCCGGGCCCGGCGGCTGCCCTGCTGCGCCAGGCTCCTTCTCCCGTGGAAAACAACCCAAAAAACATGTCTAGAAATAGATATAAGCGATGTCTGTCTGTCTGTACATAACACGGGCTTCATGGCAGGGATGCGGCTGTAAAAGCCCGGGTGCTCCATGCTGCCCGGGGTCGGGCGCGGATCCTGCGGGAGCTGTCATGGTGGCGGCGGGTATGTATGCCATACATCATTTCGTTGCTAATAAAAATTCTGCCGGGTTGTCCTTCGTTTGCCAATGGCGCTTGCATTTTTCAAGTGTTTCTCATCAGTTGAGAAGGGAATCTGCATTTCATTAAAGCTGCAATTTCTCTGTTGATCAATCTTCCCCCCCTTCCTCCTCCCTTTGTCAGTCGCCCCAACCTCTCCTCCCCCCCCCAAAAAGAGACTTAAAGCAAGATTTACTGGGTCAGCTCTCAATGCAAGGAGAAGCTATTTTAAGAGCATTTTTTTTATGTAATCAAATGGTTACCTAGAGGGGGGTGTTGCTATGGGGGGGGGGCAGAGCCAAGCTCACCATCCTGGCTGCTTTCCGCTGCAAACACTCGGGCGGGAGGCTCCGCGTTTTCTTCTCTCTTTGCAAAATTTAAAAAATAAAAAAGGAAGTGTGCATATAGAGGGAGATCACGCCTATAAACCCGCAGTGTAATATCGGCATAACAGGCATCTCTGTATGCGCTGCAGCTCTGAACGGCGAGCTGCGTTTGTAGCAAATATTTAATTGCCTTGATCTTTGCCACCGATAGCAAAACCCTGGATTGAATTAAGGATTTTTTTTTTTCCATTGCGGGTTGATAAACAGCAGCTGGGAGCCATCTTGGAGGGTGGGGATGAAAACATTTCGGAGAAAGAGCAGTATTGTCCTTTGCCTGCAAAACTTTTCCCTCTCCCTCCTTCCCCCTGCCCCCTCCCCGCAAATAAATAAATATATCTAGCTATCGGAAAGCTGGCGGGCAATCAGCCGCCTGCCAGGTTAGCAGAGCAATTAATCACGTTAAAGAAAGTTACGTCGGCAGAAAGCTGCTTCTCAGCTGCACAGAAAGGGTGGGTCCCTCTCCTGCAAGTGGGGCTTGCTTTTCTCCCCCCCCCCCCGGCTTTTATTCGTTTTTTATTTATTTATTTTTGTGCAAACCTTGCTCGGCTTCAGCATTGGAGGAGGGGGGAGGTCTCTGCCTCTTTCCCTGCCCAGATCTGTAAACAGGCGGATCTGGGATTCAGGAGCCATTTTCTCTGCCCTTTTTTGGCTGCTTGGGGGGGGCAGGATAATAATCCCTAGTTGATCGAGGCGTGCAGCCCGGGGCCGCCGGCTCCGTGCTGGCCTGGTCAGTGCCCCGGGCTCGCGCCGAGCTGCGCTTGCTTTTGCAAAAGGAACGGAACTGCACCCGTTCAGGGGGTTTCTCCCCCCTTGCATTGTTTTAGGCGGCGTTAATTAGATTAAGACTTTCTTTTGTCTTGCCATTGTTTGCTCGCTCTCTCCAGTGCAAATCTCGGGCCGCTTTGAGATGCACTGTATCATAAACACACCATTATTCCCAGCTGGGTTGCCAAAATACTTCGCCTTATCAAAGGACACTCCAACCTTGAAGCTCGCCCATAAAAAGCCCGAGCCGCTCGCCTTCAGAGGCATCTCTTTTGTCTTCCTTTCCTCTCTCCAGATCCTGAGCCACGGTGCTGAGCTGGTTCAATCACCACCCCCACTTTTTTTGAAAGGGAAAAATTCCTAGCAAAGAAAACCACTCTTTTTCTCCCAGGGGTAAACACAAATGGTGGGAGCAGGCTCGGGTTTAAGGCTGTGCTTTGTACTCCAGCGAGAGGTGGGGGGAAGCTCGCGTGTCCCGTGTCTCAGTGCAGGTCTGGCGTGTTCCCTCTCACACATGCTGCTGCACAATAGGGGCTTGTTTCCTGGGAAAGGCATGGGTCCCTCTAGCTCTCCCGACTGCCTGGAAGAGGGTTGCCAGGCCGGGCCGGCTCTCCAGAAACTTTTCTTCCTCTTTTCTTTGGGAATGGTTAAAAAAAAATATATAAAAAAAAAACCCTATTTATTCCAGGTTTTTTCTCCCCCCCCCCCTTGGTTCTAACATTTAATAAACAGAAGGGGTCTTTGAAAGTAGCCACCACAGCCCCTCACCCCTTCCAGTGTATGAAAGGGCTGTAACTACCCCACTCAGCTGCTGCTGCTTTTTTTCCTTTAAATAAAGCTTTCATCTGGCAGATCAAAGCCTTTCCCCCCTTGTTTTCCTGCTAAGAGGTGGAGGATTTGAACCTGAGTGGCAGGGTGATGGTTTCAGGCTTTCTTTGCCCAGAATCGCCCTCCTTGAGACTGGGCTCCTGCATCAGGATGGTCCCCCCAGAAAGGTGAAGGATGACTGTTGCTTTGCCTCCTGTCCCAGAAGGATGGCTGCGGTCTCTCCTCTGTGGAGGTGCTCTGCAGCGAGGGGCAGTTTGGTGAGCCCTGGAATAGGAGTACCCCCTCCCCCAGTTGTACCCCATGCGACCAATTGGTGGAAGCGCTCGGCGGTCCCGTACCCCTAGGAGCAACCCCAAGCTGAGCCGGGGTCCCGGCTGTTGGGAACAGCAAACACTCGCAGCCAGCCAGGGAAAGCACAGGATGCTCCTCTGCTGCCCACCCGTGCATCCTGCCTGGGCTGGAGGGCTCCCACGCCACCTCCTCCCCCTGAGATGGGAGTCTAGCCCAGGACCCTGGCAGGAGATCAGAGGATATGTGGCAGGTCTGAGCCCAGGAGCAAAGATACCTGCAGGGGTTGCACAAATAACAACCCCTGCCACTTCTCCCCAGGCCCAGCACTGGGGGGCAATTCCTGCAGCCCCCCAATGTCCCTGCACCCCCCCCAACTCGCATCACCCTACACCTGTCCCCCTCCTGGGGCTGCGGGTGCTAGCAGGACTCAAGCGCCTTCCCCCAGCCCCTCCATCACTTTGCCAAGCAAGCCAGGTGGGCTAAGAGCGCACACTCGGCTCAGGGGATGCAGGACTACTGCTCGCAAGTAGAAAGTCCTGCTGGGGTGGCACTTGTCTGTCCCAGGTCAGGACGCTGGCAGGTGCGCACGTGGCATCCAGGCTGGGGCAGCGGCCTTTGGGTGGGGGTCATTCATTTTGGGGAAGCCTGAAATGTAAAGCATCAGCCCCATGGCAAAACCTTCCCATTGCCCCTCCCGGGAGCTGGCTTCTGGGGTACAGCTGGTGGATGATGCTAACCCCATGACCTGGTGGGTAATGGCAGAACAAGTCCCCTCTCTTTCCCTTCTGCCCACCGCTGCTGTCCCCCCTTCCCCATCACTGTTACTGGGACTTTGAGATTTACTCTCTTTTTTTTTTTGGCTTGGAATAGAACATGCTGTATCTGCAGCCCCCGGGCATCTGCTGTAGGATTATTTGTTTTCTCCCTTTTTTTTTTTTTTTGCAATAAGCCTTTCTGTTTCAAAAAAAAAAAAGGCACTACAGCCACATTTCCAGAAGTGCTGGGTGCTGTGCGTGCATTTCACTGTGCATTTTTAACGTGCTTACTACAGGTTTTCAGGTTTGGAACTGCCGGGGTATATTTAAAGTGTAGAGTCAGGGACTTTATATAGAAAAGCAGGCGCCACGCTACAGGCTGCGTTCAGGGCACAGAGCGGGACCCAGGTTCTGGCTACCTGGGCCCCGTCCTCGAGAGGATGGCTGTGAGATCCTCTTTTTAGCTCCCCTACAGCAACACTTGAATGAGAGTTTAGAAACAATGGCAGAGGAGGAAAACACAGTCCTGGGACACACTGGCCACCCTAGCTGTTCCCGCTGCTGGAAGTGGGAGAGGTGCAGCTTCCAGCAAGGGCAGATGCCGGGTCAGGATGTGTCTCACCTTGTAGCCATGGGGAGGGGGGGGAGAAGCTGGCTATATCCCCCCACCACCATTATGTGACCTCAATCTGGAGTTAAAACCTAGAGCCTCTTTCAACTAAAGCATGGCCCCTGTAAGGGGAAGCAATTGCAGATTTGCAGAGCTGCATGAGTTGAGGGGGAAAAAAGGGGATGGCAAAGGCATGCAGTGGGGGAGACGTGTCCCTACTGCTGATTGTCTACAGGAGTCCTGGTGGTAGCATCCCCCCCCCCGAAAAGGAGGGTAAAGGCCAAATACTTCAGCCCAGGTCAGGCCCCACACCCCTATGCCCCAACACACACACATTCATGCTGATTAGCATCTGCTCCCTAACTTATAACGAACCTGCTCAACAGCCTGTTGACAGCGGGGAAGAATTTACAGCAACGTTTCGGGGCGTGAGGAATGCCAGGTTTGGGTCTTTACACGAGTCGCGGTGGAAATCTGCCAGGCTCATGTGTTTTCACTGGGGCGGGGGGGGAGAATTCCTGCTGGAATAAGATTAATGACAAAAGGCGCGTTTTCTCTATAAATACCGGCTGATTAAATCCAGCACCTCGGCCCCTTGGCCCCACTGAGTTCTGCCAGGATGAACACTGTGTATATTAAAAGGAAAAGCTGATGATGAGCACAAACAGAGAGAGTGCAGGCTAGAAAAAAAACCCACACATGCTTTCAAAGGCAATTAAAAGCATGAGGAACATTTTTAAAAGATTTAAAAAAAAAAAAGGCAAAGGGAAAAAAAAACAAACAACAACCCTGCTGTTGCTGGAGTGGGAACCACATCCAGCAGTGAGATTAGGTGCCTTTTTATTGAGCATCTCTGGCCAAAACAGATCAATAAGGCAAAGGGGAAGGGATCAGCTGAGAGAGGCTGGGGTTATAGCTAAAATTCCCTCTAGACTCTTAATTCTAAGTTCAAGGTACAAGGATGCCTTGATAAAGCCACCTGATCCAGGGCAGGCTGCAGCACCAGTGTCAGCTCAAGGTCCGGTTTATGAAAAGCTGCTGGCTGGATTCAGAGGTGCATAGCTGCTCTTGAGAGCAAAACACAAAAATCCACTCTCTCATCAAAATGCTGGGTTAGGGCTCAGCTCTAGCAGTCCCAGCTTCTTCCCCCCACATCACTGGTGGCACTGACAAAGCTGGCTGTAAATCAGATTTGATGATCAACACAAAAAAATAACAGTGTGCTTCGAAAAAATATTCCCCAATTGGGCTTTTCCTGCAATGTGCCTGCGCTCACTGACTACGGGAGAAGTTTTACAGGAATAGGATTGAAGCAGATTAACATTTTAACAGATGATCTAGGTAAGAATCCCAGGTTTATTTTAAATATCACTCAATATGCAAGAGACCCTCAGTCGTTGCCTCCCGGGTCTGGAGAACTCACCAGTTGATCAGCACCAAGGGAGGGATTTTCTGCCATGCACTCTCCTCGTTGGTGAAAAAAAGGTCAAGTGTGAGCTCACCAGTCAAGATCTCCTTTACGGATCCCCGTGTTTACATAGGGAAGAGAATTAAATGCACTTACATGGGCAGCTACTGCTGGTGTTTTTTTACCGAAAGCTGCAGAAGCCATAATCCCTGCCCAAGAAACCAAAGATCAGCTTTCTGTCATTCGGCTGTATGCTGGAGCAGTAGCACTTGGGGAAAAAAAACGGTATAATACTAATTACGGGAACACTGGAGATCCAGTGTAAAAACCCTCGCCCAGACAGATCCATGTCTTTCCTGATCTATTCTGTGGATGTCTGATCCGATGCTTTTGAAGATATGTTGCTAAAGTTAGAGTATGCAATTCCTGTTAAACATTTGGACTCAGCTCAGACTGACATCATCTTCTGAAACAACATAGTGCTCTGTACACAGTGCTATTCTCTCTCGAGAAGGACAAGAATAAGTTTCTTTCCCTGGCTATGGCCAGGCAGTTTTTATTTTTCAACCAATAAGGTTTTCATCCCAGCAAACAACGTCCCCCGGCCCCCCAAGACGTAAAGAAAAATATCATGCAACTAAATTCCCAAACTGTAATTACTGCTTGAAGTCTTGGGATACCGACATCGCCTCCCGTTCTTAAATCTGGTCTTATGCTAGGAAAATGCAACGACACCTTTCAGCAGGAATAAAATCCACTTTCATTTAACAGAGAAATGTTTTTAAAAAAAAAAAGCAACCCAGCCCTACCCAAAATCTCAGTCCCAGTAGAACTCAAGGTTATTATAGCCTTGAATATGAAAGTTTAAAACAATTATATGTCCAGTCAAATGGGAATTCTTGCCACTGAATGACAAGAGTTTTATGTCACCGCAGTGAATTGGATTTTTCTTCTCCTGAACTGCCTGTCAGTTAAGTCAAGAATATATTCTTGGATGTGTATGCGAGACAGAGTGAGCGCTATATAAAGATTTTATATATCTAGCTGGCTTTCAAAGATTTTTCTTTCTACCCCAGCTCACAACAGCTGCAGGTATTTTAATATGCATACAAAACCAATTTTAAAATGGAAAAATATTCACAACTGCTCTTGCCGTTCTGATGAAGAGGTGGGTGAGCAGGGCATGTTACAGGAGATATTAAGAGCTGCGCCTGGGAGATCTTACAGTATTTACTCAGCAGGAGACACCCAGAAAGAAGTTTTGAGGTTAGCTGCAGGAGTCCGTGTCTTTGCTCTGCCCTTCTTTCAGTTCACCTCCTCTATCTGCTACTAATTTAAACAAGCAGAAGCCTCTAGGAACTGGAAAATCCAGATTTGCAATATCACCCTGACAAAGACAATTTCCTAAAAAAATGCGCGCCTCCACGCACACACACACACACGCACAGAGTTCCTGCCCAAGGTTAAATTCCAGCCTGCGCATTTTTTACGCCAAATTAAAGATAGCCGTGCTCCAAATAAACAGCTCCGAGGAAAGCTTGTGAAAGTAAATACAGGCCTGTTTACCTGAAAAATCTCAGAAGCCTGATGAGCAAGTTTGAGGCATTTGCATTTTTGTCCCTTTAACCACAAACACCTTCAGATCCCAGGCTCTTGCCTCCACCCCTTTCCCGCCCTGCAATGTCAAGGCCTTCAGATCAGGCAACCATGGAGAAGTGGGGGACTACAGCCCAAGAGAAAGGGTTAATACAGAAAACCCTGGGGAATTGCTCCTATACAGCCATAAAGAAAGCAGCCTGGGGAGTAGGTGACCCGACTTGATCAGCTCTTTGGTGCAGACTAAATGTTTTTCACAAGTTTCAACCCCTTTGGGGCACAGAGGAACCCAGGAAGGCCGAGAGTCCCAATCCAGGCATTGCAGCACTGCAAAGATGCTGTCCCAACTAGGACTTGAAGAGCCTGGGCAGAGCAGACTGTTACATCCATATTTGCAGCACCAAAATGATATAAGCCCTGCTCAGGGAAGGACTGATGGGCAGTCACAGCACTGGCGTTCACTGGTTAGAGCAGGAGACAGCAAGTCCAGACTTCTCCTTATTAGCCTCAGCTCCGCCACTAAGCCTCTGCATGGCCTTCACTAAGGCATATACCGTTGGGCGCTAAGGCACGTACCCTTGGGTGGGGAGATCAAACAGGCAGATGCACTGGATTGCAACACAGGTAACCCACACTGCTCTTTCTGGTACACGCTTGCAAAAACAGTGCATCATGCCTCAGTTTCCCCATCTTAAAAAGAGGCAG